CAGTACACACTAAAATGAATTAATCATGTAGGACATAAAAATATTTAAGGATTGTTGCTGCAGACATACAATTTTAGAACTTTAAGCTAACCTAAAGTGATAAAATAAATCCATAGTTATTTTAATATTCAAAACAGAAACCAAAAGATCTTACCTTTTACTGTAGTAAGGGTAATTCTGTACCATGATGTCATTCCCCTAAGATATTTCACAATGGCAGAGACCTCATGGTCAATGCCTTGGCATTGATCATGTGTACAAGAACAGTTTCAGGATTAGCCTTATTACAATAAAAAGATAATCTTTTACTTATATCATATCATGCAAGTGAATATTCTGTGTTTTTCTTCACCAAAAGAGTCTAATATGCAAACATAAAAAATGTAACTCCCCTATTTGCTACACATTTCTTCATATTCTCTCCGGTTGTCAATGACAGACCAACCTCAATCTTCTGCACATAACAGAAAGCTCATTAGCAGATCAGAATAGTGAAGTTATATGTGCTGGCAGGGTTGAAACATTTATATGCAGACCAGGAAGTAACTATGCCCTTCTCACCAAAGATGACAGCTCAGCTAGAAAGGTAACTGTCTGTTAAGCAGACTATATGGAACTTGGTTACGTAGAGAATAAGAGTCAGGTCAGAAGGTAGGACTGCTATTCAAATGCTATTAAATACTAAAAAGATGACTTCTTGCTAAATCCAAGACAAAACTGAGGATAGTTTTCTCTGTGTTTTAACATGTCATGGTAAAGCGACTCTTTCAAAAACAGCCTTATGAACATCCATGCTAATTTCAGTAAGGGCCTACTGACATCTTCATGTTCCAATAACATCGTAATGTGGTTTGCTGTACGTTCCATTAAAAAATTGGTCAAGTGTATTAAATGTGCTGCCAGCACATTCAAAACGAATGAGCTGCTTAATCAGTCAAAGCACATACATTATTGCAATACACAGTCTGAATAAGCCCTAAGAAATTCCCAACATGGCATGTTTTAAAAATGGCAAAACTTTATATTCAAAAGAGACAGAAAGTAACTGTCCGATCCAAGTTTCACATTTGCAAACTAGACTCTTATTATGGACACTCCATTAATTCTACAATAGTACACTTAACTGAAAAAAAGCAATATGCACATATCAATTGTACAGTCTTCTTTTGGTTAAAACCATGTTTAAATTGCATAATTCCCTGGCTATATCACAATAATTAGGAAATAGAAACAAATATGCTGAAGAGTTTGCTTTACAAATTCAACATACACCTACTATATTATATTCTAAAAATTGGAAACATCATGAAAACCACTCAAAATACCTCAGTGTTATATTATGATTTTGTAAGTACATTTAAACCATTATTTAATTTTTATTTGAATTGCAAGGAACATGAAAAAATATTTGAAATGTCAGTATTTTACCTATATAAAGGCTTGAATTCTAATTGACTTAAAGAGAATATAGTGTACATAAAAAGGGCAATTAGATACCATTTATAGTAAAGATAATTGACAGCTGGTCTATGCATGGCTGACAAATGGACAAAAATACATTTGTACCTGCATTTTTCTAAAATGACAGAAAATGGTACTTGCAAGCATTGAGCCATTTACAAAATATCCTGTCCAAAATACCCTGCCCTGGGATTTTAAATGGTTTAAAGATTTTAAACGAATGAGCTCTAATCTACTATATATCATTTGCTTTTTCTAAGAAAATACATGCTTGGTTTGCGTAATTAAAAAGCAATATTTTATAAAGATTTGTTGAGAGATTTCTTGTTCTATAAAATGCTTTTTTAGAATCTAGATAGGGATGTGTAATTGTTATATTTTCTATGTGTGTTATGTATTCTGTGGATGACATTTGTTTGTTGTTAAAATTTATGTTGGGGCCACGTGATTAAAAACCAAAGGGAATTGTGCTTATTTTTACATACAATAACAAGCTGAGGACTCACAAACTCATTTCCACACTCTCCATAAAGCAAATATAAATACATAGCTTTTTAAGTAAATCTAAAAATCTGATGATCTTGTATTTCCATCATACCTCTCTAATGTGATTCCTTTCTTTTCTAAAAATAAAATAGTATTGATGTGTATATTCAGTCCTAGCCTTTCCCCTTTACTGGAATACATATTTATTCCCAATTACTTTGCATTGTTCAGGACACGTGAAAACCATGATTAGGAGGCAATATGTGAGGGTTTCACTGGAGTGCACATCCTGCCGCCCCTATAAGGATGAACATGACTGCAGCTATGCCAACTTTAGTTACACAACGGAATGTGTCCTAATTAGTATGCTCACTGAAGTGGCTTTCCTTTTCACAGCAATAAGTACATGCAGCTTGGGGGGCCTTGGACATTTTAGCTACTTGTGGACAAATTCCCAATTATCCCTAGTATCTGCTACTTGCACTAAAGAAAAATACGTCTAGTTACAAAATGGGGAAACACAGAAGGGGAATCTGTTCATTTTCAATCTAAAAGAGCAGAAAGTATTTTCTAATGTATTACAAAATTAGGACTTTTCCCCACTTTCCGTGGGCTTTAAAAACAACAGGCACACCTTGCTGCAAATAAAAAAAAAAAAAAAAAAAAAAAAAAAAAAAAAAAGCGATTTTACAAGAAATAAAATAAAGACAACTACACCTTAGCTTCAGTTCTGTTTAAGGCACCATGAAATAGGCGAGGTACTGTGATCCCTGATGTACATTCTTAAATGGCAATGGTGTGTCTAGCCACCTGCTCAAACCCTACACAAATGGGGACAAGTTCCAATGAGGTGTGCCAGGTACACTGCCTAAAATAGATTACATGCACTTTACTCTTTTCACAAACCTTATCCTACTCACATTAACACAGCAGTCCTAGATGCCCTGGTTATTATATAGAAAAGCCACATTCACACAAGCTTTCTTTAAAGGCACATGAGTTCTATTGATTTTATTTATCTTGGTGTTTCTCTGGTGCAAAATGAAAAATAAGATATTAAGATAAATTTACATACAGCTAAGTTCTATTTCTTTCATAACTAGGATCATATACAGTATATTACAGAACTTGACGGCTTTCCAATTAGTCTTGTTCATAAAAGATAATGCTTCCAAAATTCAGTAGATTAGGAATGGTAATGTGGAAGGATACCTTTGATAATACTGAGCAATGGCATGTTACTGGGTGAATTACCAGGCCTAAAAGTCAACAGAAAAAAAGGACAATAACTTTCCAAGCGGACAGTGCTGAGAGATCAAACACACATCTCATTTAGACAAAGCTTCATCAAATGCCTAAAAAGAAAGCCCAGTTTCTAATGTAACAAGTTTAATATAAATTGTGCTTAAGTGTTTGGGAAATTTGTGTAAAAATGAAAACCTAAGAGCACATTAAGGATAGGTAAAAAACTTACTGCTCAGAATTCAGTCTGTCCACACAGTAAAGGTATAACAGATCCAATAAAGAAAGCTTGGTTGAATAGTGGACTCTAAAAATCTCAACCTTGGTATCATGAACTTGTGTTCTACGAACCTAGGTAACCGTTCTTGATCTTAAATACTATGCGGGTTGCTACATTCCTTGCATTCTATAATTTCTGTATGTTTCTATATGTGTGTGTGTATATATATATATATATATATATATATATATATATATACACACACACACACATATACATACACACGTACACAGCATAATAGCAGCAGAATGAACTACTGTTATGAAATAGTTTCTGGAATAGCAGGAACACAAACCTATGACATTGGCCCTTATCTATTCTGCACATACATGTCTTTAACCCCATCTTCCCTGAGTTTTGAGTCTTGACATGGCACTCTTTTGGTAACATCAGACTAGTTTCCTTCTACTGCATTTTGACCATGAGGCTATGTCTACTGTGTCATTTTGCACTGCTTCAAAGAACCCATCAGGGTTGAAGAGGTTAAAGTATTATGCTAGACATAATCAGTAAGGAAAAGAGCAACATGCAAAGTTCAATAATGGATAACAACAAATCAGATATCATCGCTGTGAATTTGACTCAATTTTACTGAAATCTGATTGGTTGTTTTGGGTTACTGCACTTAGCACGTAATCAATGTAATTTGTGCAGTTTTACTGAATAAGCCCAGAATTTGGGTTATTATATCTCATACCTTCAGTTATCAGCGTTGTTTAACAGCATATAGCATTGTTACAATAGTATCAAATGCACAAACAGTAGTATCTCAACAGTGTAGCTGAGGGTGCACTTAGCTGAATAAACATTACAGAAAGATATTTACTAAGAGACCCTCAGCCTTTACAGACGTCTTCCTAAAACAGATGGATACAGTTAACGGAAGTTGATTGCGTTGTTCACTGTTACACATAAGCATACTTTTTTCACAACTTTAGCATACTGCACTGTTTTATGCAGGCCATGATAGTGATTAGTAGGGCACAAAGAAGTTGCTTGAATATTCCTTCACACAACAGAACAACAGCCAAAACATTTACCTTCATAGGTATAATTATCTTATCTTACATAGATAAGGGGATTCCCAAAATAAGTGTCATTCGTCTGCTGCCGCACCTTTTTTCTCCAGTGTAAATGATCAGCATTTTCTTAAAAAGATGTGCAACTAATAAAATAACTACAATACAACTCAGCAATAAAATAGATATATAAAAAAAAATCCAGTATTAAAACAACTCCAGTGGAACGTCAAGGAATTAGGAATTGTGATACAATCTGCTTGAAACAATAACATGAATAAAATCAGAAATCATATAAAAACAATATTAACACCAAGCACAAAGAAAAACATGTTTGTACACTGAGAAAAGTAGAGGAAAGTGTGCTTGGGGCAAGGTTGACAAAGAAAGTTAAGGTCACAATAGGAAAATTTGACAACAGTCGACCTTCAGGCGTATTCTGTGTTTCTGCCATACTCTTAAGCCCATCATACATATATTATAAACTTCTTTTTGAAACTCTTTCATATTCACTAGACTGCAGTATAGGTATTCCCAGTGGCACTGCACTGTCTGATGGTCTGAGTGCTTGTGACAATGTGCTCGCTGTGTATTTGGTTCAAAACCAGGCTCTGCTGAACGCTGCCCTCTAGTGATGGCTGCATACAGCCCACCTGGTATGCCTGAGCCAACTCAGTCTTCTCCCTCTTTGCCGGGGGCTCTCCACAGTCATCCATTTCCTCTTCCATTTCACTCTCCACATCGCTTCCCTCATCTGCACAACCATTAAAATACAGAAATATGTCAAAGCATATATTTATTCACTAAGAGCAACAGTATACTTAAAGAAAATCTACTGTCACAGCATGCATGTTCATTTTATAACATGAGCATTGTTACAGCAATAGTTAAATAGTTATTTTTGAAATTTCAATATAAACTTACTTGAAAATATCTAATTTAATTTTGTGTGAGTGCTGCTTGTCTGCTAGCCATCTCTTTCCTCAACTTCATGGATTCCCTGCATGCCTTGCAGCTTTTCCTCTGCAGTTTACTTTCAATTTCTAAGGACTACATATCCCATCGTACCTTTCTGCCTGCAAGCATTGATTCCTGTACTGACTCCACCTCCTGAAACTCCTTCTCTCAGCACCTCTGTAGCTCTGAAGGCAGGGTCTGTGAAATGTGTGACACAGCAGTGCCTACTTACAGGGCATAGTGAATTTGTGTTACAGTATTCAAGTAAATGTGTGGAGATCTTCACAAAGTAAGTATACAAACTTCAAAACCATTCCGATTAATATAAGTAGGCTAAAAATTTATTGAAATACACTAGAAATAAATACAGTGCCTTGAAAAAGTATTCATACGCCTTGAAATTTTCCACATTTTGTCATGCTACCACAAAAAACGTAAATGTATTTTATTGGGATTTTATGTGATTGACCAACACATAGTGGCACAATAATTATGAAGTGGAAGGAAAATGATAAACGGTTTTCAAAATTTTTTACAAATAAATATAAGAAAAGTGTGGCGTGCATTTGTATTCAGCCTCCCCAAGTCAATACTTTGTAGAACCACCTTTTGCTGCAATTACAGCAGCAAGTCTTTTTGGGATGTCTCTACCAGCTTTGAACAAGAAATTGTTGCCCATTCTTCTTTGCAAAATAGCTCAAGCTCTGTCAGATTTGATGGAAAATGTCTGTGAACAGCAATTTTCAAGTCTTGCCACAGATTCTCCATTAGATTTAGGTCTGGACTTTGGCTGGGTCATTCTACCATATGAATATGCTTTGATCTAATCCGTTCCATTGTAGCTCTGGCTGTATGTTTAGGGTTGTTGTCCTGCTGGAAGGTGAACCCCCGCACCAGTCTCAAGTCTTTTACCAACGCTAACAGGTTTTCTTCTAAGATTGCCCTGTATTTGATTCCATCCATCATCCCATCAACTCTGACTAACTTTCCTGTTCCTGCTGAAGAAAAGCATCCCCACAACATGCTGCTGCCACCACCATGTTTCACAGTGGGGATGGTGTTCAGGGTGCAGTGTTAAGTTTTCTGCCACACATAGCATTTTGCTTTTAGACCAAAAAGCTCAATTTTGGTCTCATCTGACCAGAGCACCTTCTTCCAAATGTTTGCTGTGTCCCCAACATGGCTTCCCGCAAACTCCAAACAGGATTTCTTATGGCTTTCTTTCAACAATGGCTTTCTTCTTGCCACTCTTCCATAAAGGCCAGATTTGTGGAATGCACAACTAATAGTTGTCCTGTGGACAGATTCTCCCACCTGATCCAGGTGCAGCTCCTCCAGAGTTACCATGGGCATCTTGGCTGCTTCTCTGATTATTGCTGTCCTTGCCTGGCCTGTCAGTTTAGGTGGACAGCCATGTCTTGCTAGGTTTGCAGTTGTGCCATACGCTTTCAATTTTCAGATGATGGATTGATCAGTGCTCTGTGAGATGTTCAAAAAAGCTTGGGATATTGTTTTTATAACCTAACCCTGCTTTAAACTTCTCCACAACCTTATCCCTGACCTGTCTGGTGTGTTCTTTGGCCTTCATGATGCGGTTTGTTCACTAATGTCCTCCAACAAACCTCTGAGGGCTTCACAGAACAGCTGTATTTATACTTAGATTAAATTACACACAGGTGGACTCTATTTACCAATTAGGTGACATCTGAAGGCAATTGATTCCATTAGATTTTAGTTACGTGTATCAGAGTAAAGGGGGCTTTTCAGATATTTATTTGTAAAATATTTTGAAAACCATTTATCATTTTCCTTCCATCATAATTATGTGCCACTTTGTGTTGGCCTATCATATAAAATCCCAATAAAATACATTTACATTTTTAGTTGTAACATGACAAAATGTAGAAAATTTCAAGGGTTATGAATACTTTTTCAAGGCACTCTATATGATTTCAAATTTTAACCACAGATACACTTTAAAGAAAATAAAAAAGGTGGTAATAAAGCCCAACACCACACACACCTTTATTTTCAGTTTATATAGGGGAAGGGAGGGCAGTGACAAACTGTCAGGTTTTTATTACTGTCTATGTCCCTGCCTGGCAGATTTACCCCAGCTTTCTTTTTTCTATGACAGGATGTGAAACACATAGTACTGTGCAAACATTTTAGGCACTTGTGAAAAGAAAATTCTACCAAGTGAGGATAATATGAAAAATATTGAAATTAATATTTTTTTAACAACAAAGGACATAAACACAAAAACAATTTAAATCAATACTTTGTGTGTGTCCACCTTTTGGCTTTAACCGCTTCTTGTCTGCCCATAGCTTCTTGTCTGCCCATAAGCCATACCAGAATCCAGATTACTGCCATACCCCATACCAATGTTCAGATCACTCCATATGCCATAACAGAATCCTGATCATCTCCATACCCCATACCAGTGTTCTGATCACCCCATATGCCATACCAGAATCTTGATCACCTCCATACCCATACCAATGTCCTGATCACTGCCATACCAGCGTCCAGCATTTTAGGGTCTCAACTGATCAGTTTTCAGATATATATCTGATAGTGTGAAAACTTTCACACAAACTAAATAATATACACTGTTTTAGGGATATTTTTATCCATAAAATGTATCAAAATACATTTTTGCCTAAAAGTATGAAGATTATTTATTTGCAAAAATTTATAACAATAAATACGCAAAATAAGTTTTTTTCAAAATGTTTGGTATTTTTTCATTTATAATCGCAAAATTAAAAAACCAAAAAAAAAAATGGTGATTAAATACCACCAAAAGAAAGCTCTATCTGTCTCAAAAAAGTGATAAAAATTTCATAAGGCTAGAGTGTTGAATGACAGTAATTGTCACTCAAAATGTGAAAATTGGCCTGGACTGGAAGGGGGTGAAAGTGTCCGGACTTGAAGTGGTTAAAACAGCATCAGCTCTCCGATGAACATTTACAGTTATTTTAAAGTGTTACTAAACCCACAACAGTAAAATCAGTATGTATATGCAGTAAAGCATGCTTGTTATACTCACTCTGGAACCTAAGGGGCTAATCCTCTGAATTGTGTAAAAATGCTGTTTGATCCTGACTTCTCTGACCCCCCCCTTCATCCAGTGTCCCCCTCTTATCTCCTGATAAGGCATATTGTGTGGAGACACTCTGCTCACGCTCAGTTTGGTGCATATTGCTATAGAGGTTTCTTTTTCCTTGGGAGAGTGTATGTGATCAGCACAGGGCCAATCAGCACTGTCCAGACAGCGGTCAGGGGTTCTGCATCCTTCTATAACAGAATGAAAACTCCTCCTGCAAGCTTTAACACATGCTCTGCTGAACACTGATTGAAGTCACAAGACTGCTCTAACAGCTGATGAGAAAAGATATTTAGCAATTTATATTTAATAAAATAAATACATTTCCATGTAGTGTACTGTGAGAGACCAGATATACTGAACGCAGGGTCCTGGGTTTAATAACACTTTAAGGAACTTGGCAGGTAGGTTGTTCCAAACATCTAGGAGAAGTAACCACAAGTCTTCTGTGGATCTTGGTAGTCTCAATTCCACATGTCTCTTCGTGTAATCCCAGCCAGACTCAATGGATATTGAGATCAGGGCTCTGTAGGGGTCATACCATCTCTTCCAAGACTCCTTGTTATTTGTTTTACAGATAACAGATCTTTGGCTTTATGTTTGGGGTTTTGTCAAGCTGCATATGAAAATTGAACTGATCAGATATCTCACTGATTATACTGCATAATGTACATTTATCTGCTGGTACTTTCAGCATTAAATAAAGAAGTATCCTTTTGATTTGTATTATTGTATTCTGTTCCCCAGGGAACAAAGCACATGAAGTGCTTTGTCCCACCTTCTTAGATGCAGTCTAAGGCAGGCCATAGATAATGCAATTCTCTTTCCTGCAACCAAAGTTGCAGAAAAAGAAAATCCCTAAATTCCCCCATCAACACTGCTGTCCCTGCCAGGAGAACACAGTGAATATTGCTAGCGGCTATAGTTGCGGGCAACAATTGCATTTAAACATTTGACATGCTGGTTGTACCCATGTCATACAATTGACTTGGATACAATCAGCCTGCCCATAGATGGTTCAAATATCAGCCTGTCCCTGCTAAAGAGAGTTGAACCATCTATGGCCAACTTTAGGCTAGCAGTGCAACCAAGAGCTAGCAAAGAGACCGTTGCTTTAACAGACAGCACTTTTTTCTATCTCTAAGCAATTGCCTGAGACAAGACCCTCACAAAGAATGCAGATAGAGAGGGATATGTCAGCTAAAAGTTTCTAGAAAAGAAGAGCTTGGAGATAAAGAAAAGTGTGTTCTGTCAAAGCAGCCATCTTCTTGATATCTGCACATTTGGGCAACGGGGAGAGCGACCTGTTCGACGCAGCACTTGGCTAAGACAGCACCTAGGAAGATGAGATAAAGGGAAGCAATAATAAAAAACTGAAGTAGGACTTCTTCTTTAAGGAAACAATTCTTACTTAATTTCCAATTCCATATGCAGAAATGTGGCCCCAAACCTGCAAGGAATGAGCCACCAAGCTCATTCTATAACTGTCACATTTAAATGGTATTAATCTTATTTGTAGTAACAGATGTTGCTAATTGAAAATACTTTGAGGAGTACATTTTAGTACCAATCATGTAACGAAGATGCAAATACTTAAAACAAGATTTGGAAATAGCTTGGATAGAATATCACATTGACAACACAGAATGATTGAATTAAACATGTGAAAAAAGATAAGTAATTACCTTTTTCCATATTACCAGGAGATCCATCAGTTAGGTCACCAAACTACAAAAGGTAAACAAAAAATATTTTCATTTCACACTTTTATATACATTATGTATTGTACAAAAATATGCTGCATTCATTTACAAGTTTCCAATATCTGAAATTATTTGCTAAAAGCTTTCGCTACACATCATATCCTCTAGCTGTTTAGCCCATGTATTGGGTAATTAGATCTGTCTAACTGCACAAATACAAGCATGGCCAAAATAAATGAGAAAGTTTACTGAAATAAACAAAAAGGGTGACAAATCAACCACAGTGAACAGCAGACTAAATTATCAGGCAGACTATCATTGACCAGCTGACCAGTGATAAGGCTGGTTGTTGTTTTTGGGTGCACATAATGATTTAGGACATACAGGATAAAAAAAAAATAACAATAAGCTGAGCAAATTGGTTTGGAACCACTTGAAAGATTAAAAAGTTAGCTGCACAAAATGTGGTCACTAAAGTCAAGGTACATACACTCTGGTAAAGATCAAGATGTTACATATAAAATGAATAAACGTTTTGACCATTATTGAACATTCTATGACTTTGAGAGAAGTGAGTGAAGATTTCAACAAACTAATATAGTAGACCTAAAATAATTAACCAACTTTATCCTATTGCTCTTTGAACAGTGCCTTGCTGCCTATAGTTGATTGTTTGCTTCAGTTGCTCTACCAGGAACTGAAATGCTCAAGAAAAGTGCTTTTCATGCTGAGCTAATAAAAATGACCACAGCTGATCACAAGTCATTTTAGTAGGGTGGGGAGTGATCCTTTTTCCAACCAGTGATTCTGTTTTTGAATTTTAAAAAAAATTTTCTCTGACATGTCGGTGTTACATTTTTAACTTGGATTTTATAAGTTACACTGAGTAAATACAGCTGGATAAAATTAATGTCTTAAATAATTTTTTTCTATACCCAGTGTGTGTATATATATATATATATATATATATATATATGCATATATATATATACATACATATATATATACATACATACATAGATACTTGCATACATACATATATACACACACACACCTCTGCAGTGTGCCTTAATGGGAAAATGAGAATGTATCTTTCTGTATTTATTTTGAATAACATTTTAGAAATTATAAGCAAAAACCGTCAGCAAGGTATATGTCCAGCGAACACCTATTTTTTATATAGTGGGTAAGAATTGGGTTTTAGTCATACCCTTGGATCGGGTAGAGATCCCATCACACACTGTCCCAGTGACAATGGTTTTATCAGACAGGATATTGGGGAATTTTCTACAACAATACAGACAGAAATAAGACTTTTTTTAGTAGAAGGGAAGGCTAGAATTCCTATCAACTTTTTATTGCTGTATCCCTGCTGCAGATGTTCCCCTACTTCCTTTCTGGTGAAACCACTGTATCTGTGAAAGTAAGCGAGCAGGGATCTTTCTAATGGAGCCCTGGAATGCATTAAAAAGATGTTCTATTCCTTCCAACTTTATCTAAAACTAAGAAAAAGACTTAGCTGGCCATACAATTTAAACCCTACTTTAACATGTTTACAAGGCTTAACTCCTTTGCAGTAAACCGCTTGTTGTTCACAGAGCTGAATAGCTAAAGCTCACAATACACATGCAGCTGAATGAGTCAGAAAATGACTGATGAAACATTGCTCTGTATGACTTCAAAAATAATATGTCACCATACACCTATCTGGAATGCATTCAATTCGACCAAATTCCAAATAATAAGTAATAGTATGAAAGATGCCAGTTTACAAGGGCAGTCTGCAAATTGTGAAGTGGATGCTGACAAAGCACTTCACTGTATAATAGTAATAAATGTTATAGGTCAGCTTCACTTTCAGCTTTAAACCAACTGAACTACTGACATACAAAGTTGGAAAGCTGTATTTATTTCATTGGCCATATAAATTAGTTTTGTATGTGGATACTGTAAATAATGTATTTCACAGTTTATATTGTATATTACTAACAAGTAATAGTAAATGGACCTGCTAAAAATAAACCGTTCAGTTAAATGTATGTTGACAAACTCACCTCTCCCATGACTGCGATTGGTGACTCTCCAGTTGCCTGTGCAACCCGGTGTTCAACTAAATAAAACATGTATTCATCATAGAGAAGACGAATCAGATGGAAAGAGCCAAAGCTAGCAGCGCTGCGCAAAGTTAAGTCGCGAATAACCATGGAACTGCATGACAAAAAAAATACGAAGCTTTAAATACTAGCTTGCTACTTTGTTTAGTACTATCAATGCAAAATACACATTAAGAGAATTATTTTTTTTTTCTAGTCATAATACAGTATTTCTTTATTTATGATGTAACTATAAGAAAGAGCATAAATATCTGAATGCATTTTTGGGTGAAAAAAGTTCAAATTAGTTATAGTAGCCTAGACTTTAGTTTGGTGCTTTTCTGTGCAATGTTATTATGACCTTACTTCAAATGTTTTGTTTGAAAGGTCTACATTCAGAAAGTTGATCAAACAAGTGACTTCTGTCGAGAAGGGATCACCACACACTGATCAAAATTCGTCCAGTTCAGAATGGAATGAATTTCAATCAGTGTATGGCCAGCTTTACTAAAATGTTACTAATCTAAAGCAGCAATCAGGCCGACTGGCTCCAGCACACTCTTAGTCGATAGGTAGTTCAGTGACAACCCAGGGAAGGAAGAGAAGGACAGGAAGACTATTAACCTCCATTTTAAAGTAGAAATACAGAATATTTCGCAGCATTAATCTAAAGCAGCACACAAACAGAAAAGGATCAAACTCAATGCTACTATTGGATCAAGAATCTGATAACTGAGGCATTGATTCCCCCTTACCCACCACTGTTTTTAAGAGTTACAGAAAAGCATGGTAGCCAGGGACACATCACATAGCTTCACTAGGCCTCTTCCCTGGTAACTAGCAGACAGTGGCCAATGGCGTCACAGAACAGCACTAGACCTTGTCACCGATAACTTGCTGATGAATTTTGCACAATGTTCATCTCAGTTGTAGGGCACCACTTTGGGTGAGACTTTGACTTTTGCTCTTGCCTGTTTTTGTAATACCACAGCAATAGAATTATTTATACCTTTCAACTAATGTGTGCAGATGAATTTCTGTAGAAGGGTACCACTTTACAAGAGATTTTCACTTTGGCTCCTCCCTGCTTTTATAATACCATAACTACTAATATCTTTTGATAACTTTTTCTATATAAAACAATATAACTATATAAAACATACATTACATATTTACACTTAATTTTACCTGTAAAATGACCATTTTAGGAGGAACTGTCGTGCTGCCTTTGGAAAGCTGGGCCTCCCTTCATAAGGTTTCAATGCTTGTGTCACCACATTGTCCAGCCAAGCAGCCCACTGCTCCAAAGTGCTTTGCTGCTGAAGAGTCATCTTGAAGTCTGTTTCTAATCTCTGCACCATATTATCATCACACTGGCACACCCAGGAAGCCTGTTCCTGTCAGAAACCATTACACCATTACATTACACTTCAATAGATCAGAGGATCCTGAATTACTATAATGAGCATTGACCAGCTTGTCTATAGTTTTACTAAACATATTGTTTAACGGCCTTGAACAATGGCAGAAATATTTAAAAATCAAGGAAATAAAAAGTGAAGGTAAAGTGTAGGCAACCAGTCATATATCAGCCATATATATTATAGTCAAACTTAGAGTAGAGTAGAAAGTGGAAAGTAAAAGCCTTTGTCAGGTTTTTATTGACATCTGCATTTTTTCTGCTGAGTTAATTCACCAGTCTCCATTTGTGTTGATGACAGCTGTCATTAGAAAAAATGGTGAGGGGAAATCCAACAGGTACATTTATTGCAGTGACAATTATCTAAGAGGAGTATTCGCCTTACTTTAACAAGATTTCTTCTGACTTTCTGTTGTGTTAGGACTAGGAACTAAAGGGAAATTTCCCCAAGACACAGGCAGCAAACAAAATGTAGAAAATTTAAACTACTCTATGCAAAGTGCACCAAAAACAAATGGCTTTAAAATATATCTAAACCCAAGAACAAAAATGTAATATATCACAACTTACCAGTTATAAGATATAGTGGCTGCATTTATTTTTTCTTTGTAATGAGATGTACATTTTCTGCAAATACCTGTTGATCCTATCAGAAAACTCTAACATCTGTTGATCCTAAACCGAAATGTCAATGGTATCAGCTTTCTCAGTTATCTTTTGTGAACACCAAATAACTCCCCTCTATACAATGAAGATGAGAACAGGAGGAGGTGACTGTAGTCCAAATCAGGACAACAGCCATGGCCCCCTCCATAGATATAGTACAGTGAGTGAGTGTAGTGACCCAAAGACAGGAAGTATGTTATTAACAGAATCACCAGGTGAAAATAATTTGTAGCCACCCAATCTATGGAACGGTTTGCTGCAATACATTGCATTTTAGTTTTTTGCTTAGATATGCTTTAAAAAGGACCTTGTAATTATCGCACAAGGCAAATATTGAATCTGTACAGGCTGCAGCCATGGAACAGTTACTTTTTAATAAATTGCTACTTAAAGTGGTTGTAAGCCTCAGACATGAAATATGAACAAAGCAAATCCTTGTGTACTTGTCTCTATCCAAAGCACGGAGTGTGATTTCTCTCTGTTGCCTTGTTCCTTTGTTATCTGCATAAATCACTTCTTATTGCTCTTTCCAAGTCCAAGAGATAATTGGTAAAGGGGGGAGTAGAGCTCCAAAAACAAAGCCTGTGACTAATAGCCACAGCTGGGCATGTTCCCATGTACTGTGAGGGGGGGGGTATCTCCTCCCTCCAATCAGGGTTCAAAGTTCTCCAGACTGAGCTCTGCAGTGTGAAACTTAAGATCCCTGCCCCCTGTTTTTCAGAGCGGAGAGATGCTGTGCAAAATGTGTGTTGTGGAAGACTGTAGAGGAGAGAGGCTACAGATAAACAGGTACAACCTATGTAGAAGGATTGGTTTCATCTCTGTGTATCTAAGGCTAGTTACTTAACTGGGGATATGTATGGGTTTTCATCCACTTTAATGTTTGAAACAAGAATAGTTTTACTTCTGTCTTATTTTCCAGTATGAAATGCAACATTAGCAAGACTTATTGTACAATTATGAAGACGGCCTGATCAAAATCATATTCAAATCAATTTAAATTTTTCAAATCTTTTGCTTCATATAGAGAGGCCACCTACAGGATAAGTTCACCTTTGAGAACACGTTACATGTTCCACCTGTTTTTAGGGTGGAACATGTAACATGTTCCCAGTGCTGCAGCCACTGCCCAATCCCCCCTCCCTGTGACAGAAGTATGGAGAAAAGTTCCCCATATTAGCTGTCAGTTTTTTTAAACAGTGCGACCGTGCGGGGCTCTGCCCACATGGCTGTGTCATTAATTCACAGAGTTCTGTGAATGAAAAAGCTACAATACAGACATCCTTTGCAGCTGTCGGCTTGTAGTTGTCAATAAACTACAACGGCGCTGTGGAGAGTTGTGGTAGTTCATTTAGTTTTCCTGTCAGTGTTAAATTGTCTGATTGTACGAGGTATGAGCACATGGATTAAATAGACAGTCTGCTGGAGACCTGCATGGCACCAGCGATCTCCTGATTGCTGGTGCAATGCTTTGCAGGCTACAAGAAAAAAAAAAAATAGTATGTCCACTCCTTCTCTTCTGCTTCTGGGCCCACATAGCAAGCTGTGTGCTATGGTGGCACACATGGGGTGTGCTCCCGTGCCAGGCAGTGTGTGTCCATACACACACACATACAATGCAGCTCGACCCTGTCCTCCAGATCCATCCTCACAGGGTTGTTTGACAGCAGCAGGAGCCAATGGCTCCCGCTGCTCTCAATTTGTCCTGTAAAAAGAGAGACTGACACTGCTACAGATGAGCACAGCACTGGATAGAGAGAGGGCTCAGGTAAGTGTAAGGGGTGGAGAGAAGGAAAAGGTAGTGGGTAATTTTTACCTTAATGAAGGGAATGCATTAAGGTAAAAAAATTTGACTTTATAACCACTTTACTAATTATATTCTGGCATATGCTCCTTTGCTGAGCACTAGTACAATAGTTAAATTGTGTGAAATTGTACACAATCCATACAAATCATCAACGCTGCATTTTTTTTACTTAAACACCATTTATTTTTGCTTTACCTGGACATTGGCGAAGTCCACACGGTTGAGGTCATTGAGCATCTGGTTAATCTGAGATGTGTTCTGAAGCACAGCGCGGGCTGCCTGCGCCAAGTGATTGAGAGATGTATATCTTCGCAGAGTTTGAGCAAAGGCACTTACAGCAGCAACCTGTCACAACAATTTATTGAATCACTGAAATCAGCATCAAGAAGGTATTTTTTTTTTGCCTACTGAACAAGCACACACTCACCTTGGTTTGTATCATTCTCTGTGGAATATTACTCATGGCACTAGAGAGCCAACCTTCAAGGCTTTTTGCAAAATTACGAACGGCTTGGGTCAAGGCACCTTTAAGAAGGAATATGGAGGGAACACAATTTAAAGTATAATTTTAAATATTTAGTACACCAGACATTGAGTAGTCTTTTCTACGAATATAATCTGAATAATATAAAAAGAATATACCAAGAAAGAGGGTGCTCTTTGCTTTAATAAAAGAAATAACTTATAAAATAAAAATGAAACTAACCTGAATGTTAAAACAGATAGATGTTTGCTAATAATTGGTAAACTAAAAGTCTAAGGCTGGGGTCTCCAAACTTTCTAAACAAAGAATTGGTTTACTGTCCTTCAGACTTTAGGAGGGCCAGAGTGGCCAGTGGGAGTAGTAAATCTCCCAACATCAGTAGGAGTAAAAACAAAATGACATAGTACTTGTAGTCAGTGGAAGGTGGGTAATAGGAGAAACAGAGTCCAGTCATTGGTATTAGTGGAAGGAATATTACCCCATCATTGGTATTCGTGGGAGGAATAGTGCCCCATCATTGGTGCCAGTGGGATGAATAGTGCCCCATTATTGGTATCAGAGGAAGGAATAGTGCCCCATCATTGGTATCCGAGGAAGGAATAGTGCCCCATCCTTGGAATTAGCTGGAGGAATAGTACCTAATTGTTTATATCATTGGGAGGAATTGTCCCCATCATTGGTGTCGGTGGAAGGAAAAATTTCACATAATTGGTGCCAGTGGAAGAAATGGTGCCTCCTTGTTGGTGTCAGCGGGAGGAATAGCACCCCGAGGGCCAGATAGAAGCAGGCAAAGGGCTGCATTCGGCCCACGGGCCACAGTTTGGAGACCACTGGTCTAAGGCATCACTGGGGAGCAGCCAAGTCCAAAAATCCACAGAATCACAGAACCAATTCCAAATATTACCTTCCTATGGTCTGCTGGATCCATATAATGGCTCCAAGCAGTTTAGGAAATACCCCCGCTACTACAGGAAACTGAAAATGTGCAACTGCCTGGTATAAACCAGGGGAATCTGCACAATACAATAATCTAGATAACTAAAAAAAAAATAAAAAAAATAGTTTAAAATCTGACTGACTTTTTACAGTTTATATGTTTCTCTACGGATTGAGTAATTCAATAACTAACTTATCACAAATAAAAGATCAGAACCCCTGAAGAAAAGGAAACATGAGATCTTTGCTTACAAAAACCTACTGGATAACTGTAAGGTTTTAATCCTCATGACCCAAAGCTGTCTGAGTGGTTGCCATAGGCAACAAAACTTGCTCATTTTACACAGGTTTATAGAAATCCTCAGTAGGAACCAATGTATTTTTAACAGCAAAAGGCCCTGTTCATTTTGCTTTTTCATCAAGCATCTACATTACCAGTTTACAGAGCCCCTTGGCGATCTCCAATGCAAAAGCAAACACCAAGTAAGTGTACAACCCTGGCCAATAGTTTTGAGAGTGACACAAATATTAATTATCACAAAGTCTGCTGCTTCAGTGTTTTTAGATCTTTTTGTCAGATGTTACTATGGTATACGGAAATATATTTAACAAGCATATTATAGGCTATTGACAATTACATTAAGTTTATGCAAAGAGTCAATATTTGCAGTGTTGACCCTTGTTTTTCAAGACCTCTGCAATTCGCCCTGGCATGCTGTCAGTCAACTTTTGGGCCACATCCTGACTGATCCCAGACCATTTTGCATAATCAATGATTAATATTTGTCAGCATTTATGGGGTTTTTTTGTTCACCCGTCTCTTGAGGATTGACCACAAGTTCAAGTGTGGGAGTTTCCTTGCCATGGACCCAAAATGTTGATGTTTTGTTCTCCAAGCCACTTAGTTATCACTTTTGCCTTATGGCAAGGTGCTCCATCATGCTGGAAAAGGCATTGTTTGTCACCAAACTGTTCCGGTCTGGTTGGGAGAAGTTGTTCTCGGATGATGTTTTTGTACCACTCTTTATTC